AAAAAAAAAAAAAAAAAACCTGCAAAAACTATTAACCTTCTTCTCTTAAAAGGCCTCTGAACATTTCCAAAATCACTCCCAACATCCTGGGTAGGGAATTCAGATCAGTCCTAAGGCATTGCAGAGTGTACACAGCTCAGACTGGCCCAGAGTGACCCAGTCATCTTGAGACAGGGCATCCAGGGCCCAACAAAAGCCACTTAGCACACAGGAGGGTGGGACTGCTTAAGAGTCCTCACTGGGAATTAGCCTTGGCTGTGTGATTCCCCGTGATGTGTCTTGCTCTACAGCAGGACTATTTTATACAGTAACCTTAATGAGGCTGGGGAAGGACCTCAATGGCGAAGCCTAGCCCGTCTCCATCCCCAGCACTGCCAAAAGCATAAGGATCACTTTCATAAGGCTTCCTCACATCAAACACAGGCCCCCACAGAGCTGTTGGTGACCCTACTGCCTGCTGACCCACATTCCAGAGAGGCAGCCCTTGGCAGGGAGAACAGTCAGTGTCCACTGTGCCTGGGTGAGCAGCAGACGTGCACCTGGCACCCGTGCTCAGCTCTGCTGAGCCCACGAATGTCCCAAAGCTCACTGGCCTGGGCAGCATTAGGGTCTCAACTCCAGGGCCTACGGCGGGGGGTTGAAGCTCAGGTACAATGCAAATCCAGCCCAAGTGAACCCGGCTTCCATTATTTTTCTTAGTCCAACAGCCTCGTGTGGTCTGAGCAGTCTCACACAGCAAGGCCATGAAGTCACCTCACCTCCTGAGCTGCATCGGGGGCAGGGTGTGTGTGCACAGAAGCAGCCTTTGGAGGGCTGGGGTATAGAGCGCTTGCCTGGCATACTTTCAAAGTAAAGGGGGGCTAACCAAGGCCTTGCAATCCCCAGTACACCCCCACACACATACATACAGAAAGTATAGGTTCAATCCCCAGCCCCGCAATATCCAAAACCTGCTTTTGTATGGCTATGCCCCAGAGCCACTGCAGGGCCAGATGCAGCCTTTGGACAGGCTACATGAGTACTCCCTGCCACTGAGAGCATGACAGGCCTCTCTCTACTGCAGTGCTGGATCCATCAGAAGCTTGAGCCAGAGACACCCTCTTTAGCCAGTTCTCCCTGTCCCAAAGGCTCAGAGGGATGTGGCCGCACATCCTCCCCACCCCAAAGACCTGTGTACTGAGGCACCCAAATCACGCATCAGCAGAGCACAGCCTCTATCACTCCTCCGCAGGGTAAACAAGGCTTGGGAAGGGCTGGGGGTTGCCAACAAAATAAACGAAAAACTGCTATGAAGTCCCAATGTGAGGGGCTCAGCTGGGGAAAAATAGTTATTTCCCCAAGAGACACAAGGGGACAGCCCACCCCCTCAGCCAGTCTGCTCACCGAAATGCAGTGTGATGCTGCCCCATTCTACGGAAAGCTGAAACTTGAGTTTTAGCTTGAGGTAGCTGTGGCCAAAGTGGGTCTGAGGTAACTAAATCTTTGAAGGTCAAGAAGAGCACATTGGTTTCCTATTGCTCTATCACGCCAGGTGAAGGCTGCAAGGAGGCCATGTGCAGTGAGTCACCAAACTGGTGATCTCAACAGACAAAGAAATGGGCCAGGGATTTAGCTCCGTGGCGCTGCACCCGCCTCCCAAGCGCAAGGTCCTAAATTCAATCCCCAGTACAATCCACCCACCCCCAAAAATCACTTACCCAGAGGACTGAGGGCAGCCGCCACACTCTCCCCTACATTCTTCAGAAAATTTACATTGGGATCCTCTGATGGGCCAGAAGCTTTCATTTCCACAAAGAAAAATGATATCCATAATCAGTGCCTTTGACACACACACCAAGCCCCTGCATGACCAAGCCCTAATATCCCAGTGGTTACCATCTTGGGACAGACACCTTGTGCTGGGAGCCCACAGTGAGCGCCTTCCTCTACTCCATCCCCCTACGCTCGTGCTGTGACCCTCATGTTCCATAACCCTGCAGCATCTCTGTTTTCACAATATGTAAACATTGCCCTAGATAGGCTCTTTATTAAAAAATGAACATGTATTCCCAACTTTTTGTCCCAAGGATTGGATCCATCCAAGGACACAGTAAAAAAAAAACTCAACAACTGGGCTGGGGATTTAGCTCAGTGGTTCCACCACCTGCCTTGCAAGCACAAGGACCAGAGTTTGATCCCCATTACATCCCCCAAAAATAAAAACCCACAAATCTAGAACACAAGGCTGTAAGTTTTTAACCTTGTGATCATGCCAGGCATGGTAGTGCACACCCAATCCCAGCACTCAGGAGGTTAAGGCAGGAGGATCACTGGGGATACACAGTGAGTTAGTTCAAAGCCAGCCTGAACTACACAGAAGACCCGAACCCTATGTAAGATCTGAGCACCTTTGGCTTTAGCATTCCTGACAGAAACACAAAAGGAAACGGGTTCATGAGAGATGCAGGGGCGGGAGGGCCTCCCAGATAACTCAGCAGGGTAGCCTGGTAGGCAAGAAGGGCCATGTGAGTTAGTGGCCGTGGGCACTTAGGCACCTTGGTTTCACCATGTGTGAAATGGAAGGAAGCTCTATTCTGCAGGGTTATATGAGGATTAAATGGCACAGATGGTGGCTGAGAAATACCCGGCCCACCAACGGCACAGCAGTTCAGGACGCAGGAAGGCTCTACTACTACAGGCCTTCCACAGCACGTACTCTGCCTGGCTGCCAGCTCGCACTTCAGAAGCCACGGCAGGTGTAAGCCTCACCTGGTTCTGCACCGGAGCTGGGGCGGGCATCCCCCGCCCGAGGAGGACGTGGGCTCCAGTTGCCTGGCGGGCCCATCTCCCAGCCAGGCCACCGGCAATGCCCGTGTTTCAGCTTCCGGAACCAGCGGCTGTGAGCGAAGCCCTGAAGAGGAGGAAGCAGAGGGGAAGGGCCATAAGGGTCATGCTCCCAGGCTCCTGCCACCCTGCACTGGCCCCTGCACCAACCGGTGCCCCTACCTCAGCAAAGTGCTCCAGGGGGCTGGCCAGCGGGACCTTGCTGTGCTCCCTGTGAATGCCTTTCCCCTCGCAGACGCCACACAGATCGTAGTTGGGGCACACGCTGCACTTGTATCGGGTTCCCACCACAGGCCCGTCACAGCCGTCACAGATCACGTTGGGGTGCACCATGGGGTGAGGCGCTCCCTGCACACACTGGGGGCGGTGCTCCCTCCGGTACTCTTTCTTCTCTGCAGGGAGGGCAGTGGGCATGAGTGAGGCCCACCCTCCCCATCTCTGCTCACTACTGTGCAGTGAAGGTGGGCGGTCTACTCCCGAGGCAGATGCACAGGTGACAGTGACGCTACCAGAGATCCTGGCAGAAAGGCCCTACATAACCTGTTAACCAACCAGGGTCAAATGGCACCGATCAAGCAGAAGCAGCGGGGAGGGAGTCCTGTCTGTGCACCTTTGGCTTTGGTCCTCCCCAAAACCCAAGGCTTCCCCTGTTCCCAGCAGCACTCCCTAGCCGGGACACAGCATCTGAAATGCCCATGTCCTTGAGAACCCACAGATTCCTGACTCCTGTTTTCCCCTCACCTTTAATGTAGATGCGGAAGATGTCATCCTTCACATAGGACATGGCCATCATCAGCTCCTCGTCACTGGAAAAGGCCACCAAGTCCCCGTCCTCATCTACATGGTTGAAAGGACAGCAAGCACATCAGGGCTGGGATGTGGGTCAGAGGTAGAACACCGCCTAACATGCTGGATTCTCCAGCTGCTGAAGACAGCTGCTAAATTGTGCTGAGGCCAAAGGGATACCTGTTCCAGGGCTCTAAACTGAGCCAGGGAAGTACGGGCAAGAAGTTTGCCTGTTCACTGACATTACCTGGATAATGAAGCTGAGAGCCTATCTCAAAAAAGAAAAAAGAAAATACATTTGAAGAAAATTCTGAATCCTTACAGAAACCCTCAAACTTAACTAGGGTACGGCCAGGTATGTAGCTCAGTGGCACTGTGCCTATCTTCCAATCGCAAGGTCCTAAGTTCAATCCCCAATACAAAAAAATAAATAAAACTAGGGCACCGAGTCATATGCTTGTAGTTCTAACTACGTTGAAGGCTGAGGCAGGAGTATCACTCAAGCCCAGCTGGAATAGCGAGACCCCATCTAAAAATCAAACAAAGGGACTGGATTTTTATCTGCAGGCTGCACCACCAGATAGCAAAATTGATAAGTAGGGCCACTCCCAAAGATGGAAACAACTCAAAAGTTCACAAACTCGTGGGGATTTAGCTCAGTTGTTTGCCTCACAAGCAAAAGGTCCTGAGTTCAATCCCAGGTACAAAAAAAAAAAAAAAATCAGAAACTTAAAACCAGAAAATCAAGGCTTATGTAAGCAATGGGATTTATCTAGTTACTAAGAATAAAGTACTGGAACCAGGGATTTAGATCAGTGGTTCCGCCACCTACCTCACAAGCCCAAGGTCCTCAGTTCGATCCCTGGTACCAAAAAAATAAAAAAATAAAGTGCTGATGCATGCTACAACAGAAAACCTTGAGCACACTTTGCTAAGTGCAAGAAGCCTTCAAGACTCCACTTATATGGGATATTAGTTGTCCAGGGGTAGGGAAGATGGGAGGATGGGGGATGATAACAAAAAGGAATTTATTAAATGATGAAAAGCTTCTAAAACCGTGACACTTCCACAAACCTGAAAAAAAAGTTTAAAAATGTTTTCTACTCACAGCGTATTTCTCCCCAAGTACTAAGGATTGAACACCTAAGGCCTTCAAACTGAACTACATTCCCATCCCTTTTTTCATTTTTAGACAGGATCTCAGGCAACAAATTGCCCAGGCTGGGCTTGAACTTATGATCCTCCAGTACCACCAGCCCAGAGAGCGGGGCCCCAGCGAAATCACACACTTTGAATGAGGTGGGCACTGTGGCAATAGGCCTGTAATCCCAGTACTCAGGTAGGCTGAGGATGTAGTATAGCTGATGAACTACGTGGTGAGACCCTATCTCAAAACAAAACCAGTCAAAAAAAGATACACCCAGGTTAACTGTGTAATTTACAGCCCAGTAAAGTTATACACAGGCACTTTTTTCCTGGTACCAGAGAGAATCAAGATCTTGCACTTGGGAAACAGGCAGGTGCCCAGGGCCAAGGCGCTGTTGTTACTTTTTTGATTTTCGCTTTTTTTTTTTTTTTTTTTTGGTACAGGGGTTCAAGCTCCGAACCTTGCACTTGTGAGGCAGGTGGCAGCACCACTGAGACAAATCCCCAGGCCCAAGGCGCTATCATTTTAAAGAACAGCCAAGATGGATGCACATTAAAAACATACTCTTGCCGGGCATGGTGGCCCACGCCTGCAATCCCAGCACTTGGGAGGTTGAGGCAGGAGGATCACACTGCAAGTTCGAGACCAGCCTGGGCTACATAGTGAGTTGCAGGTCAGTCTCAACTATATAATAGAGACCCTGTCTCAAAAACAAAAACAAACAAAAAGCAATCAAGTGAAATTAATAGTACACACGTGTAAATACCGTAGTTTCTCTGGCGTGACAAACTAAAAATGTAAGTAAGGGTCAAAATGAGTGATTGTATAAAAGGAAGAAAAGGTCTAATCTGTTGGGGAAATGGGAGGGGTAGGGAAAAGGAAGAAAAAAGAAAAAAGAAAGGAAGAAAATGAATACAAGGTGTTTGTAAATGGGAAGGGTTGGGGGGGAGGCTGGGGAAAAAGAACCAAATATGTCATGTAAAGGTACAAGATCCCAACAATGAATGTAACTGTACTGTATACGGAAAATGTACCAATAAATATATCAAAAAAAAATCTCAATACATTAAAAAAGTAAATAAAAATAAACGCAGAGCCGAAGCTAGCAGGGGTGCGGCGCCAGCACTGCTGCCTCCCAGGGGCGGAACTGGCCGCT